GGTAAAGTCACTGCAATTTTATGGCCAGACGATCAAAAAGACGATTTTTACCCTATCCCGTTAGGTCGTGTTTTTGTAGACAATTTTTTTCGCTCGGGCTTATGTTAACAAGTTCAGCATGTTAGCGCTCATTAGCTGCTTCATTTTCAAGTAATCAGCTAGATTATATCATTTTACCCGCCATTTGCAGGAGAACGGCGTCCCAGCATGCATCCCTGTATTCATCCTCATCAATGGTGACTTCCACGTCAATCTCCTCTCCATTAAACACTTCTCTGACTTCTTTGATGTCATTCAGAGCTTTTCTGATGTTTTCTTGAAGTGATCCATCCTTATAGCTTGACCAAAGTTCTTTTAGGGCTGACAAACTGGATGACTTCACGATAAAACTAATAGATCCTTCTCTGACTTCAAGAAGTTTTATCGCCAGTGGTAAAACCTTTTGTATGGATTCTAATGCTTCTGGAGTGTTGTGCAATATAGTAAGAAGTACACCAGAAACAGCTGTTACTTTGACAAATGTGGAAGATATAATGGTTTTTAAACCGACAGCTGAAATATAAAATTGAAAGATATGATTCACGCAACTCTACTGAATGATATAACATTTTGTGCGTGCGATCAATCCGCTCGGCAGTGCATGCGTGATAATACATCGATCTAGTACAAGTCGCCTTGAGCGGAATCTGGAATCTGATAAAGAAGTGTCAGTCACTGCGCTTCAGTGGTTTTCAAGAAAACGTCTGGCTTCATTCCAGCTTAGTCACATGCATTCCAATAACCGAATCAAATGGAAAGCCCTAGCGCTGAAACTAATATAATATAAGCAATAAGAAATGGTAAGTACATTCCAGGCGCGCATAAGAGGCTTGTTTTAAGATGACTCTTTTTTAAACTACGGCCAATACTACGCGCAATTTACGTAGTTACGATATTTTCCAACACCACGGTATTCGTAGTGCCGTAGTAAGCGTAGTAATGAATAAAGTATTGGCCAAAAACGAATCTCCCTATTAGGATACGCCCATACTACGCGCAGTTTGCGTAGTTGCGATATTGGTGCCGTAGTAAGACATTAGTGCCGTAGTAATACACTTCGCGTAGTTGCAATATTCCTATACCATGGTATTCGTAGTGACGTAGAATCTCGCATATTTTCAACACCACGGCGTTGGTAGTGCCGTAGTAAGCGTAGTAATGTACATAAAGTATTGGCCAAAAATGATTCTCTGGATTAGACAGAATACGCTCGTAGTGGCGTAGTGAGCGTAGTAATGTATAAATGTAAATTCATACCCATGTTGGAGTGGTAAGAATATCCCCCTCACCCGTTTTATTATTCAACCAACACAAAAGATGTCAACCTAGGAAAGTGGGCTGTAGATATTTATATTGTTTGTTGTAAATGACCCTCCCCCCTCCCCTAGCCCCTAGGTCCTCGCGGATTAGCGCTAATTGTAGCTTAAAAAACCCGGCCCAGTGTGTATAAGGAAGTCAGTAGCCCACGGCCACTATAATTTTGAAAACGGAAATCTCCAAAAGTAACCTAAGAATATGAGGTATGCTACGCAAACTACGCGTAGTTAGAGCGTATTTTACAAAACGTTTATCTTACAATAAGCCGGGTATATCGAGTTTGAGCTGTTTTTGTACATATACCTCTTTATGGAGGTTCAAGTAAGTATTTGTAAGGATTTTTTTATCGATTGAGCATTGACGCTCACGTAGCCACAACTTGCGCTGGTGATTTTGAGAAAATCGCGTCGCATGGGCAAGCGAAAAATCGCTCGTGTAGCCGTGGCTTAAAATAATACTCGTGCAAGTTTGCACTAAATCGCTTTGTTAACAGTATTCGAACCGCAAAACATGAAACCCTTGCACACGCCCGTACATTCAACTCTATTTGAACTATTCGCATTACCTGCAGTCCTGTATGCTATTCCTGCCAAATAACGCAAAAACAAAAAAAATTAAGAGGGAGTTTGTGCTGCCAGGCATCGTGAGTTTATGCATGGGTGATTGGAAAAATAATTCGGATATTAAATAAATGACTTTATTAACGTCTCAATCGGACGCTCTAGCAATACGAGTGTCACACAAATTGGGGAGRCTCAGACTCACACCTGGGAACGAGCCTCATGATGGCTGCGAGAGGAGACTAGAGTGCTCACGATCTACTTTTCATACAGCCTCTATTGATTATTGTTAACCCTTTTCCAGGCCAGCTTGAAAGACAATAAGATGCCACAACTGAATCGGTATTAAATCAAATATCCTTCAAATATTCAATGAGTTCTTACCTGGTAGTTTCTTTAAAACTGAAAATTGCAAGAATTCAATAATTAATTCTATAAAAACAAATTTCTATTTCAATCATTGGATTGGATGTGT